CCCCAAAACCCCAAAACCCCAAAACCCCAAAACCCCAAAACCCCAAAACCCCGATGTCTACATATTTTTATGAAGTATTAGTATATTAAATCTTTCTATAAAAATGAAGGTTTACTTCCTACTAGCTCTCTTATTAGGCACCATTGGAGGTAAAGTTGCTAATAGATCTTGCAAGGTTCATATTTACCCTAGCTCTCTTCAGCCTGGCTTTGGATGTTCAAATCTGTAATTTTACCTGCACTTTGTATTCTTAACCTGACATGTATTTATAGTCATGGCTGTACAAGTCAAAGAGTATGACAACTCAAAGCCCTTTGTTTATCAGAATATTACTAAGATGATTGAGGAAATTAAAAGCAATTTTACAAACGGTAATTTTCAAAATGGTAAGACTTATTTTGAGTTTTGGAATTTTCTGGATTGAGACAAGGAAAGCTTATTGCTAAACCTTATTTACTGAGGAGCTTCTAACTTTTGTAGATGCCAACATAGGTGGCATCGGCTTAATCAGCATAGTTATTTAAATATCCAACTTCCTTCGAGACTCTTTTTCTTTATATCCTCCTTCATGGATCAATCCAAACCCAATACTATTTCCCAAAACATTTTATAACATTAAGAATCCTCTAAAACTCTTCAGTAAATACCCAAGCATCTTCTAAATCAACCTTGAACACTCAAACGACAACCACAATCTCCACTGCTGCCACTGCAACTGCCGCAAATCCAATGGCTAGAGAAGAGATTATCCAAAAGGCTCTCCAGAACATTACTGTTACACCACAAAAGATCATTCCTAAAGGAATGACCGAGGAACAATTTGATGAAGCTCTTAAGAAACAGAGAGAAACTATGAAAAATGTAAGGCTTGGCTTAGTAAAGTTATAGACCAAAACTTCAAATACTACCAGAGAAAGCAACCAGAGTAGTGAGAGTTCCACAAAATCCACTAAGAGCCAAGTGAGTGAGGACACATTGGCGAATATTAAGAAGATCCTGAACCTTCCTTAAGAGAATGAATGTAATGAGTTCAACTAGACTGGAAAGAAGAGGGGTTTTGGGGTTTTGGGGTTTTGGGGTTTTGGGG